GCTTTGCACGAAGCAGCTGGATATGGTCATTTGGATATATTGAAGTTCTTCATTGAACATGGTTTAAACATCAATGATACCGATAGTTTGGGATTCACTCCACTATATTCAGCTTGTGAACATGGTCATTTGGAGACAGTTAAATTCCTTCTTGAACGTGGTGCAGATTGTAATATTAAAAGCAGCGATGGTCGGACAGCCCTGCACACAGCAGCTGCACGTGGTCATTTGGACACAGTGAAGTTCCTGATTGAACATGGTTCAGATTTCAATGCCACCGACAGTTTGGGATTCACTCCACTATATTCAGCTTGTGAGCATGGTCGTTTGGAGATAGTCGTATTTCTTCTTGAACTTGGTTAGACTAATGTTAAAAATATGAACGGTACACAGCAGCTCATATCGCAGTCGAATGCAGTGAAATTTATCATGGAATGTGGACTAGATTTCAGTGCGAATGCTGTGAATCGCGTGGAAACACTTAAATTCCTTCTTGAACTTGGTGTAGACTGCAATATTTAACACGAGAATGGTCGGACAGCTCTGCACCCAGCAAATGCGTGCAGTCGATTGTTCAGAATGAAGTTCCTTGTGAAAAATGGTTCAGATTTCAATGTTGCTCATAGTCTAGGCTCCACTCCATATTACATTCGACGAGTGCTATATGTCACTTGGCACGGTTCTTCAAGGTGCTGTAGATGATAACATTAAGGAAAAGTTTTCTCATTAAAAAAAATTAGTTTTTCAGTTTTGCCAGAGATATATCTTACCTACCCCGAGGAACCGCAACTCGAATATCAATGCATTGTATTTGATTACATAAATGATGACTTCTGAACCGGTTGAGATAGTTTTGTAGATACTATTGTAATGGTAAATAAGGATTTATTAAATTTTTAATTTTAATTTTTATATTTTTTAAGACACTTGATAAAACGCGGAAAAACACTAATAAAAATTACTGTATAAAAAACTTACAAGTGTAATCGTGAACAAAGAACTTTATAATTTACAAATTAATTTAATATTCGGCTATCATACGTCTTTCCTGTACCAAATTTTATTGAAATATCTTGAGAAGTGATAAGAGTTGTTTGCGTTTCTCTCTTAATTTATTTTTTATTTAAATCACCGCGCGTTCCGCGATTTAATTTCATGTTGTCCTTGTCCTCTAACCGAGGGTGGGGAAAAAGACTCGATGAGGGGGAGAAGAGTCTACATTCAATTTTAAAAGTGTGTGTATGTGAAAGAGCTTTGACCAAGACAGTACGCAACTATACGCAACTGAGATCTCAAATTTGGACTAATGGTACATATAAGTGATACACAAAATTGATGCAAGGGTGCTAGTTCCTGCTGCAAGCGAGTGAGCCAACATAGGGAAACCCTCAAAGGTAAGGGCAACAAAGTCGCCGCAAAACTCTTAGTACATTCTTTTTCAAACATCTTTTCCCTAGCATATTCANTATGTCACTTGGCACGGTTCTTCAAGGTGCTGTAGATGATAACATTAAGGAAAAGTTTTCTCATTAAAAAAAATTAGTTTTTCAGTTTTGCCAGAGATATATCTTACCTACCCCGAGGAACCGCAACTCGAATATCAATGCATTGTATTTGATTACATAAATGATGACTTCTGAACCGGTTGAGATAATTTTTTTGATACTATTGTAATGGTAAATTAGGATTTATTAAATTTTTAATTTTAATTTATAATTTTGTTTTAAGACAGTTCACTTGATAAAACGCGGAAAGAAACTATAAAAATTACTGTATAAAAAAACTTGCGAGTGTAATCGTGAACAAAGAACATTTTCATATACCTAATTCAACATTTATAATTTATAAATTAAACTTAAATATTCGGCTGTCATAGAAGCTTTCCTGTACCAAATTTTATTGAAATATCTTAAAAAGTGATAGAGTTATGTTTAAAGTGTACCTGAAAATTGAAATTAAGCCAGTAAAATTGTAAGTAGGTACTATAAGGAACAAACTTGATATAAAATAGTTTATATTATTTATCTAATAATAAATTCTTTATTTCTTGACACCTGTATAATGAAAATAAGTTTATTAACGTGTTTAAGTTTATTTTTGTTATATTTTCTTAATAAATGAAGTCCTGTTGCATTTTTGTTTCATAACAACCATAGGTACAGCTATAACAAATTTGAATAGCAAAATTTTGTTAATTTTTTTTAAATTTTGACAAGCTTATATCTTTTCTAAACGGAATATCGTCAAAAACTAACGCAACAACGGAAATCTCAGATTAAATGAAAAGAATTCTACAATATTTCTTATATCCAGTACGACCTCGACAAACCTGCACTTCTCAGACCTTTCCGGATGACGTCACACTCTCCGCTTCGCCGACCAACCGTGACCAAAGGGGTCCTAAAAAACGGGTTGTACACATCACCATCACATATGTTAGCCTGAAGTGAGGTTATGTGGTTGTTTATTTTGATTTTGCATACGAAAATACGCATATTTGCCTCAACAACAACACCGTGTGCTGTAGCGGGATCCGTTTTCGAGATTTCCGTCATGTAGATTTGGATATTTCCCTCGTCCAATACGGTTCCGAGAGAAGGTAACTGTTGCTTCTGTCGCGGAAGAGTGGGAGCGGATTTTATCGATTTCTTTGACCTGTTGAATGCTTTTTACCGCTAATGAGCTCAGAATCTCTCCTGTCCCAGCACGAGGAACAATCTGTTGGGCTGCTAAGGTGAGTTTTTACGCATTTTTTTCAACCGTTTGCTTTTAAAACTTCGCCCGGCAGTGAACAGTGAGTTTTTCATAAGAAAAAGTACTAGGAATTATATTTTTTACGCGAAGTGTTGCAGAAAGCAACGGAATATACGCAGTTATATAGCATTAGGGTCTAGGTGCTTATTACTTTTAGCGAGATGGAGGCAAGGGCGGAACACCAAAGGACGAAGCATTACCAGTCGCTGTACTCCTTCACCACCTCTGTAGGAGTGGGTTTAATAATTTTAGTGCTGTTCTGGATCTTGCACTTTCGGGGCGGTTTCGCATGGCAGTCTAGCCCTAAACAAGAGTTTTATTGGCACCCGTTCTTAATGGTACTGGGAATGGTTTTTCTTTATTCGCAATGTAAGTATTTACACACAAAAATTATTTTATGGTGTATATGTCCAGCCAAGCAGACTTGTAACGTGTTTTGTTACCGAGAACTGTTGATTATAACGAACAAATTTGTAAGTGCTATAAAAATCGGTGGTGAAAATACACTTTTATGATTAATTCATCTATTACGAATCTTCGCATGTAAAAAACCAATTACTTATCAAATTTGACGAAATATTCAGCTGTGATGGACTTTGGCACTGCACAATTTTGCGTAGTGGATAAAAACGTAGATTATATGTTAATTCGGTTATAAAGTACGTGACGTACTACGCTTAAAAGTGTTCTGAACAACATAGTTAGACTAGAAAGACAGCAATTATTTTACATATTTACCGATTTTCGATACCTAGTGTAGTTGTATTAATTTTTTTTACCCCATCTATTAAAACTGCCAATTTTGAGCTTCAGTCCAAGAGACTCAATTTACTTTTATGAAGGTAATAGTTACTTTGTGGCATAGTTTCCTTCTTTTTTTATTTGTTAGGTATTTTGCCTCCCGTGAACAAAATTTAAAAAGTTAATGCAACAAGCCCTTGCGCCAAAAGCGGTTAGGGGTTATTTGTTATGAAGATGCTTAAGCAAAAACCTTACAGTGAAAAAAGTTCAAAAAGTTCTTTAGTATTTGTTGCCAACGATGATCCAACGTCACAATTTGAAACACATCTTGAACCGTTCAACAGAATAGTCGCAGTCTCTTAATTTTTTTCAGCGGTGTTATTTCTCTTAGAGCGTTTATTTTGTTAATACCAGTCACTTGATTGGTAGAATTTCCATTAAGGTATTTAATGAAAGATCAACAATTTTTAGTAACCTTGGAACGCAAAGCAGAGTGTTTTTGATTTAATGTAATATGACTTACGTCTAAAATGATGAATGTTCTCTTGGTATGTGTCTTGCTACTAGGAATTCGAGTGACAACCGCATAACATTTGCCTTGTATATCTTGTAGTACTAAAATGTGACGGAAATTTTTAATCCGTTGGAGGACTTAAAAGATACTTTATTTTATGGGGAATTTAATTTTACAACTTTTCTTACTCTTGGTAGTTTTCAAAAAACTTTGTTGTTTTCAACAAAAAGACTACTAACTAATAATACGTATTGTAGCTGTTATTTAAAATCATCGAACATTCAAAAGTTGCTATGAATTTAAACGTCAAATTTGACGATCAGGAAAAAACTTGGAAAAAGAATAATTTAATAGAAAAACAAACAACAGAAATAACATATAATTTGCACTGAAAAGTTATAGAAATTGTTCCAAATTATCACCATTTTCTCTCAGGCATAAATTTATTCTTCGTCGAAAATTGAAGTCTACTGTATTGTTTCTAATGAATATGCATTTATCCGTAATGCGATTCTCAAATTCTGCTCAAAACGCAACTGTTGAGGCATACACAAATTCTTTTAACCTTCCCCAAAGAAAGAAGTCACATTTGTTGAGGTTTGGTGATCGTGTAGGCGAAGCTTGTGGGCAATTATTTCCTCTTCTAATCCATTTATTTGGATGCTGGTGGTTTAAAAAGTCTCTAACAATATTAGTAAAATGAGAGGGTGCTTCATCATGCATAAGCCAATGTTCCAGTCTGGAACATTGGTTTATTATAGGATTTTAAAAGGAAGTATGACGTTCAAGATATTTTATTACATGAATCGTTCAAACGGTCATTTTAGATGAAAANGTAGTGGATAAAAGTGTAGATTATATGTTAATTCGGTTATAAAGTACGTGACGTACTACGCTTAAAAGTGTTCTGAACAACATAGTTAGACTAGAAAGACAGCAATTATTTTACATATTTACCGATTTTCGATACCTAGTGTAGTTGTATTAATTTTTTTATCCCGTCTATTAAAACTGCCAATTTTGAGCTTCAATCCCGAGACTCAATTTACTTTTATTATGTTAATAGTTACTTTGTGACATAGTTTCCTTCTTTTTTTTTTATTTGTTAGGTATTTGGCCTCCTGTGAACAAAATTTAAAAAATTAATGCAACAAACCCTTGCGCCAAAAGGGGTTAGGGGTTATTTGTTATGAAGATGCCTAAGCAAAAACCTTACAGTGAAAAAAGTTCAAAAAGTTCTTTAGTATTTGTTGCCAACGATGATCCAACGTCACAATTTGAAACACATCTTGAACCGTTCAACAGAATAGTCGCAGTCTCTTAATTTTTTTCAGCGGTGTTATTTCTCTTAGAGCGTTTATTTTGTTAATACCAGTCACTTGATTGGTAGAATTTCCATTAAGGTATTTAATGAAAGATCAACAATTTTTAGTAACCTTGGAACGCAAAGCAGAGTGTTTTTGATTTAATGTAATATGACTTACGTCTAAAATGATGAACGTTCTCTTGGTACGTGTCTTGCTACTAGGAATTCGAGTGACAACCGCATAACCTTTGCCTTGTATATCTTGTAGTACTAAAATGTGACGGAAATTTTTAATCCGTTGGAGGACTTAAAAGATACTTTATTTTATGGGGAATTTAATTTTACAACTTTTCTTACTCTTGGTAGTTTTCAAAAAACTTTGTTGTTTTCAACAAAAAGACTACTAACTAATAATACGTATTGTAGCTGTTATTTAAAATCATCGAACATTCAAAAGTTGCTATGAATTTAAACGTCAAATTTGACGATCAGGAAAAAACTTGGAAAAAGAATAATTTAATAGAAAAACAAACAACAGAAATAACATATAATTTGCACTGAAAAGTTATAGAAATTGTTCCAAATTATCACCATTTTCTCTCAGGCATAAATTTATTCTTCGTCGAAAATTGAAGTCTACTGTATTGTTTCTAATGAATATGCATTTATCCGTAATGCGATTCTCAAATTCTGCTCAAAACGCAACTGTTGAGGCATACACAAATTCTTTTAACCTTCCCCAAAGAAAGAAGTCACATTTGTTGAGGTTTGGTGATCGTGTAGGCGAAGCTTGTGGGCAATTATTTCCTCTTCTAATCCATTTATTTGGATGCTGGTGGTTTAAAAAGTCTCTAACAATATTAGTAAAATGAGAGGGTGCTTCAACATGCATAAGCCAATGTTCCAGTCTGGAACATTGGTTTATTATAGGATTTTAAAAGGAAGTATGACGTTCAAGATATTTTATTACATGAATCGTTCAAACGGTCATTTTAGATGAAAATCCGCGGGGTGCTATTAAATTAGATGGTGGAAATTGGAGATAGGGGTGAAAATGCACCCCTTTCAGTTTTCTAATTGTAGCTCGAAAACGAAGCAAAATTTCCCTATAGTTCATAGGAAAAATTATTTAGAGAATTGAATTTCCCATCAAAAT